TTGTGGTGGCCATCTTGGTCATGTTTTCAAGGGTGAGGGGTTCCCTACCCCAACAGATGAGCGTCATTGTGTCAATAGTATTTCCCTCAAGTTTGCACCGGCAAATTCCTAATCCATCGGACTGAGGATGTTATGGTTATCACAGATTTATAAGATACTACATTAACTACTGATGACAGTGTTGTGTTTTGGAAATAAAAGTTACTTTCAGCCTTGCGCTCTCGTGGAACTGATCCTTAACCTTTTGTAATGTAGCTTCAACATATAGGAAAAACTGGGCGAGTTTGATATAAATATTTCATGAGTTTGATATAACTACTGATGGCAGCATTTTGGCACGGAACGCTGCTCATATGTCAAGTGCAAGTCCTCTGTCCTTAGCAAGGGTAGAGCCCGAGTATTAGATATGCCATCGATGGGAATGGTTTGAGCGTGTCACCATCATAGAAATCTTCACCAGTATATGCAACTCCATCCATCCATTGTATACAAAGTGTTTTGAGAAGCTGAAGCTTCCCAAGTATAGGTAAGTTATAGATCTACAACAGTTGATCAAAGCATTTCAGAAGCAGTTTCAGAATGCCCCAATCTGGAAAGTTGATACTGGATATGCAATTTGAGTCTCTTTTCTATAATGCCAACTAGAGGTGGCAAAATAGTTAAAAGGAAACAATTATCCACCTATATTATTCATTAAAAATGGGTTGGATAATGAATATTTTAAAAACGGGTTCGAATATGGATAAAAATCATATTATCTACTTAGAAAATGGATAATCAAATGGATAACCAATGGATAATTAATGGTTTAACTTTTGCATTTGTAAAGCCTCAAATTGGGGGTTCCTCAAGTTTGTAAGACTAAAAATTCCCACAAGAGTGATTATATTCAAGAAGTCGTGGATAATATGGATATCCATATTATCCGCTGAGTAACTCGTTTTTTATCCGTATTAAATATGGATTGGATCGGATAATTTATCCGTTTTTTGAATTATCCATTTTCAACCGGTTCATATCCGACCCGACCCACCCGTTTGCCACCCCTAATGCCAACTATAAGATCACTCACCTCAATAGCCTAAAGATATGATCATCTTAAAACATTTTCAGTTTTGCTTCAGTCAACAAGAGTTCAGAACACAAAGAGAGTCTATACAACAACAACAACGACGACCCAGTAAAATCCCACAAGTGGAGTCTGGGAAGAGTAGTGTGTACGCAGACCTTACCTCTACCCCGAGGGGGTAGAGAGACTATTTCCGATAGACCCTCGGCTCAAAAAGACGAAAAGAGACAGTATATCAGTACCATCAACAAAAACCATAGAAATAATAACATCATAAGAACCAGTAAATAGATGGAAACCAACCAATAACCAGTAAATAATGCTCGGCACTAGGAAAATAAAAGAGTAGTGTGAACACAACATTGACCACTAGCAGTCTAAGACAATCCTATCAGACTAGCCTCACATTGGTACGAGTTAGAAATATGCTCAACTACCTCCTAACCTACAACCTTAATGCTCGACCTCCACAGCTTCCTATCGAGGGCTATGTTCTCGGAGATCTGAAGCCTTGCCATATCCTACCTGATCACCTCTCCCCAATACTTCTTAGGCCGCCCTCTACCTCTCCCCGTACTCATCAACTCCAACCGCTCGCACCTCCTTACCAGGGCATCTGGGCTTCTCCTCTGTACGTGCCCGAACCATCTGAGCCTCGCTTCCCGCATCTTGTCATCCATGGGAGCCACGCCCACCTTCTCCGAATATCCTCATTCCTAATCTTATCCATTCTAGTATGCCCGCACATCCACCTCAACATCCTCATTTCTGCTACTTTCATCTTCTGGATATGTGAGTTCTTAACTAGCTAACACTCATGTCACGACCCAAACCGATGGGCCATGATAAGTGCCCGAGTCCTACTTGTCGAACACCCCTAAGCACGCCTCTAAGATATAAACATGAATTAAGGGTAAGGCAGGTATAACATCCGTCAATAAACTGCTGAATCACGTGAATAACATACGTGAGGAAAACATGTCCAAAATACATATATACATATACATAACCTTCATTCATCAATTTAGTGAGGCGATTATATCACATGCGCCCAGATTGATTTAAACCGTACAAAGATCTTTGTACTCTAATTAAATACATTTCACGATGCTTTGAACTATATGCTTCAGGCATTTTAAATCTTTCAGGGATCTTCATATAGACTTAATCAAATGAGTTATATAGGTTATGACTTGCATTTAGATGGCATGAAATCTTCAGGTGTCTGGACTACAAGTCCGATTCTCACAATCTTTTATAATATTGTGAACTATATTGTATCAAATATATCGTCGACGATCATTTTGTATCGGCTCCTAAGCGACATAACTTGTTGAGATCTCATCACTTTCATTATTTTCAGGTACCTGAACTTCTTCTGGAGTTTCATGAAATGTTATGTCGTGGGCTCTTCTAGAGCTCATATCCTCCTTATTATGATCATTTCGATCATTTGCTCCTATCATTTTTCAAGGATTGTTACCTTCGGAACCGATCAGTTTACTACGCTTCATGCATACAGTAAACTTTATCCTTCAGGGACTTTAATTTTAATAGGAGCATTTGCAGCTGAAATATGATATTTAATTTTGAATCAGCAAATGCTTCTGGCATTTGACTTGAATTATCTTCTGAATGAGGATCATATTAATGATAATTCGATTCATATAGCATATTTTTCAGTTGTTTATTTCATCTCCCAAATGTTAGAAAAACTAACACATATCCCCAATCTTCTTTGGGAAACCTATCTTTGTGCATTGTGGTAGAGAAATTAATCATATACCACACATCAAAAGTTATTAGATAGTAAAAATATTTAATTTCTGATCCTAAACCAATTGTGAGGGGAGTCATATATTGTTGGTCTGATGCATACAAGTATTGCTGTATGCAATTTAAAAAATCTTAGACCAACACATGAGGCTTTGTTCTCATAAGCAATAGTTTAGCCATTAATAGGAGGTATTCAGTTCTAAACTAGCTTGGATATAAACCAACATCATCAAGATGAACTATCTTGATTTCATAATCTGAAAATTATGCTCTTAATTGAGAAAAGCAATTTCAAATGCCAAACTGCAGGTTGACAATAAACACACATGTAACCATCTCATATATGCATCTATTAGTGGTTCACATGATAGGTGAATAAGCCCATATTCACCTTTTATATATATATTCCAGAATTCAGGGGTCTTAGTCCCAACTTTAGCTGGTATAATCAATTTATTATGAGAATAAGCAACACAAGAGAATTCCTGAAGAATCTTCTAGTTCTTCAGTATATGCTTATCTGAATTCTCAAATAGCTTATTTAAAAATGGCAAATGAAAACTTCAAGTTTATCATGGCATGTGCTATCTCTTATTAAGCTTCTAGTTTACTATGACATAAACTTTTGCATTAGTAAACTTATAGTTTACTGTGATATATGATGTAGTACAAATTGAATAATAAGGCGGGTAAGTTCTCATATACATATTATTTTACCCCCTATGATTGTGGAAACATAAAGATTTTCAATCTTCCAATTATTTATAGTTTCAGTATGATAGCCATTCGTATTAGTAAACTTCTGGTTTATTATAACATATGTTTTGACCACAATCATATAATATGAATGACAAATTTGCATATAAGCTTTTCGAGAGCCTTCAATTTATTATCCACAATCAAATATTATTCAGGCACTACTTGTGTCATGTGTCTTCTAGACAAACAGTTAGCTCTTCAGGAGCTTATGATAAATTTTGTACTACCAAATATCTCTCAGACACTTCTGGTATCATGAGAGAAAATTTCTTCAAAATGACATAAATAAAATAAATATGATAGTAAACATCATTATCAAAGCATAACTTTTATTTATGTACAACAATTACATAACCATACTATCTACTATAAACAACAAAAATTAAAATATTTACATTTCTACAGATTCATCACCGATCATATGACTTGTTTCTCCTTCCGGGAGTGCAAAGTAATCAGTTACATCCAAATGCATAAAGTCTAAATTATCTTCAGAAATAAAATTTACTTCAGTATTTTTCTCTGTCTTCTTCAGGGAGGCTTGATGCAGCTCAACCAGGTGCTTTGGCTTACGACATGTACGTAACCAGTGTCCTTTTTCTCCCCATATATAGCATGCATTTTCTGCCTTTGTTGCTTGCACCGCTTCATGCTTTTGTTTCTTCCTTTTCCACTGCTGGTGGTGAGGAGGGTTCTTTGGTGCATTATTATTACCATGATTAGAGTTTCTTCCCCCACCACGGCCATGACAACGACTGGGGCCATGTCCTCTTCCACGCTTAGCTTGGTGGAACTTTGTCTCATTCACTTCAGGGAATGGACAAGAACCAGTAGGTCGGCTTTCATAGTTTTTCATCAATAACCCATTATATTGCTCGGCTACAAGAAGATGTGAGATAAGTTCAGAATACTTTTTGAATCCTATCTCTCGATATTGCTGCTGTAGGAGCATAGTCGAGGCATGAAAAGTGGTGAAAGTTTTCTCCAACATATCATGATTAGTAATATAATCACAATATAATTTCAATTGGGAAATGATTCTGAACATAGCAGAATTATACTCATTGATAGATTTAAAATCTTGTAGCCTTAGATGAGTCCAAGCATAAGGTGTTTGTGGAAGAACGACCATCTTCAGGTGGTTATATCGATCTTTCAAATTATTCCACAATATGACTGGATCTTTAATAGTGAGATATTCCATTTTCAAGCCTTCATCAAGGTGATGGCGTAGGAATATCATTACTTTGGCACGGTCTTGGTTTGATGCTTGATTTTTGTCCTTGATAATGTCTGCCAGACTCATCGCATCAAGATGAGTTTCAGCATCAAGCACCCAAGACATGTAGCTTTTGCCCGATATATCCAGGGCTACAAATTCAAGTTTAGAAAGATTTGATATTATTTAGAAAAAGAAAGTTCGTACCTCTGATACTTTCAAAGTATTTGCTCGAGATGACAGAGTCTCGTGCTGATAACGTGTTATAAAATAAAGAACGTTAAGTAAAGACAAGTATAAAGAGAAACTGATATATTATTCAAACTTCAAACTTATATTCATAATGAACTGCAATCTCCTCTATTTATAGAAGAAAGCAAGCTGTTGTGTAAGATGCTTTTGCAAGCTGTTGTGTAAGCTGCTACTGTATCAGATATAGATAATCTTCTATCAGAGGTAATGTTTATCCGTAACAGAGTACCGACAGGATAAACTCATTGTAGCAGATATAGATAATCTTCTACTAGGTGTGATGTTTATCCATAATGGGGTACCAAAAGGATAAGCTTATTATACCCGATATGGATAATCTTCTACCGGGGGTGATGTTTATCCATAACGGGTACTGAAAGGATAAGCTCATTGTACCAGATATGGATAATCTTATACCGGAGGTGATGTTTATCCATAACGGGGTACTGAAAGGATAAGCTCAT